GTGACGCTCTGCAGTGCTGGCTCGCATTGGCCCTCATTCGCTTCTTGGCGCTGCAGTGCTGCTCGCTTGTGGACGGGAACAGCACCGAACACACATCAAACTCCGCCATCCGTTTAGGAGTCCTGGGACTCGCCGTTAAGCCCTCGTTACTCACATCTCGCAAGTCAGTCGCGGTTTGCGTTTGTGCCGATAAAGCCTCGTCGATGATTTTGAGGAACTCCTGTTGAACATGTTTTTGAGGCTCTGGTGTGCTGGGACCGCGCGTCGTTTTAGATCTGGACGGAGTCTTTGGTTTAGCGGTCACCGCTGATTCCACAGCGTCTCTTGAAACGTTGTGTCCCTTGGACCGAGCGACGCCACCCTTCTTACTCTGTGCAAAATAATCGGTAACCCGAGCTTGGGCCATTTTTCGGTTTGAATAAGGTCCCTGTACTTCTCGCTGGCGTGCAGTAATTGTTGTTATCCCACCGGAACCTCCCTCTCAGGGTCTTCCTCCTAGACTAACTTTCGCGCGAAATCGGACCACGTGACTTATGTAGGCAGAGCGTGGCTTTCAACCACGCCCCTCACCCACTGATCAAACACTATATTAACATAGGCTGCCAGTATAAATTCTAATGTTGGGTGTTATATTCAGTGTTGGGGGTAATATATTACAAGTAACGCACGTTACGTAATCAGATTACTTTTTCAAGTAACTAGTAAAGTAACGCATTACTTTTTAATTTACAAGAGAATATCTGAGTTGCTTTTTCAGATAAGTAACGCAAGTTAGTTTTTTTCCCAACATGTTGAGAGAAATCAGAAGATGTTACAGTTCTAAAATAAATATACACAAAACAAAACACAGATTCAGTATTCTTCAAAATATGACGCAAACCTGCAATAATTAAATGTTAAACATCACAAATATGCTTTATGTATTTAATCCCGTTCTATTAACTAATGTCTTTGCTTCTGACCGTCGATGATCCAGTTCAACCGTACTAATAAGCAAAAATGGCTCTAGACAAACATTTGTGTGTTTTGTTTATTGCTGAAGTGTTGAAATGTCTTCTGCATTCTACTGTACGGACAGAAATGTACTTTCCCTTCAGCCTGAGGCGCATTCATTTCACTTTTGGTGTGAAAAGGCTTTTATATTTGCCAAAAATAGAACTTTTTTATTTTAAAAACAAACAAGCAAGCCCCGTCCAGATTTAAAAAGTAACGCAAAAGTAACGTAACGCATTACTTTCCATAAAAAGTAACTAAGTAACGTAATTACTTACTTTTTTATGGAGTAACGCAATATTGTAACGCATTACTTTTAAAAGTAACTTTTCCCAACACTGGATATTCACATTTAGTTATAAAATACTTATGAATTTATTTATTTGATTGGTTGTGGCTTTTATTTTTATATAACACTTTGTTTTCATCTATATTTTAGCACGTTTAGCCACGTGGTCGGGTCGTGAAATGAATGGGAATGTTCCTTCTATTGTATTGTAAATTTACAGTTCTCAAGATAAATCAATCATCTTAGAGGTCAAAGCACCGCAACCCATTCAACAAAAAGTGTGACTGACACGACAGTTGAATCAGTTGTTTACAGCTGCTGTAAAATCAAATAAGTTGCTTATTTGTGCAATGCTTGTTAAAACATTCAAATTACTCTAACATTAAAAAAATACAAACACATTAAAAACCTTAAACTGTTAATGCACATATTCATCTGTACTCACTGTTTACTTTCAGCTGGAAAATCTTTATCCACTCAGCTTCAGAAGAGATTAAATGGGGTGCTTTAACCCTGTAAAGCCTGACATGAAATAATAGACATTAAGAAAAAAGAAAGCGTTTAAAAATTGAACAGTTTATTTACCATTTAGATAAATATATAGTTTGGTAAAAATTTTATATTTTATGAAATTTGGTGCAGTGCTTGCTGCAGACTTCTTACATAAAATAAATGTCAGTTGTCACTCTATATCTATGTCTTAGTAAGATGATATGTAAAAAGCTATTTAATATTACAAAAATAAATAAGTAAATAAAAACGTATGTTCATACAGAACAAACTCATACAAGGGTAAATGCAAGCTTAAAACACATGATGCTTTATTAAAAAAAAAATGTTTTTCAGTAAATACATATGTATTGAAATAGGTTTATGTATAGCCTATTACATTAATGCATACGGTTTAGAAGTTGATCAGTACAGTTTTTTGCTGACACTATAATAATAAGTTTACGTTCAGTAATAAGTAATAAGTTTAAGTAAAGGCAGCTTATTGTGCCAATACTATCTCCCAGTATGTTATTGTAAAATGGTAACTTGGTGAGATTAAGATAGAAATGCCAAAAGCCTATATACCAAAGTAAATTAACCCCTTAATTGTCACCGTCCCACCTGTGGGACGCTTGGCACTCTTTTTGGTTGTTGTCCTTTTTCTCTATCAAATCTTTTAGTAATCATCATAAATCATATATCATTTGAAAGCTTAGAAGCTCAAGATTAATCCTGTGAAAACCATTTTGAAATCGGACATTGTGTTACCATGGAAATGGTACTTTAAACCATAAAGTACCATGGCGGTCTCCTCCCCTTTAGTGGGCGGTGTCAAGTGTCATATTACAAAATGCAAAATCTTGACAAAAAACATATCATTAGAAAGGTCTGAGTCTCAGGATTCCATATTTAGTGGTTATTTTGAGATAGACGTAATATTGACAGAGAAATCTAGACATTTGTGACAGAAAAATGCATAACATTTTTAATGGAGTTTGGCTGGCACCCTGTGGCTATTTGTGGTATAATGCCCTAAATAAAATCTCACAGGAACCTCAATTTTTTTCATATCAACTTCAAATTTGGAACATAATTTAGTTAGACATAAGGCTTTAATTTTATACCAATTTTAGAGTAAAACCTGTTATGTAAAATATTTATTATATATAAAATAAAATAAAATTAATATAGTGCATTTTCTTTAGAGTAAATTTAAACGACCATAACTTTTTGATACTTTAATTCTTTTAAAAACTTTGCACTTTTGAGATAATCTGCTGACTTTCTTCTTTAAAAAGAGACCAACCTTATGTCTGTATTCCAAAGTGTTCATAAATTACAACAATTTAAGTTTGGATAGTGCACCTGCATGCCTATTTTAAGTTCTTCCAGTTCTTCCAGACAGTTAAGGGAGAAAATATAGTCTATTATTTTATTTTTTTTAAATGTAAAAGCAATAAAATATCAAATAAATAAAACACATTTACTGTCATATTATACAAAACAAAACTGTTCGTAATTATTGAAAGGTTAGAACATTACTTTAAGTACACTCTTAGATATCAGCATCTATTCATTTGGCAGGAACGGTTATCCAAAAGGACATGCATTCACAGTACAGATTTTATTAACAGATTAGAACAGAATAGATTTGATCAGCTCAGGCTATTCCGTGGGAATCAAACCTTGGCGTCGCTGTAGTGCGCTCTGCTGTTAATAACTATTTAGTTGTAAGCAGTGTTGGGGAAAGTTACTTTTAAAAGTAATGCGTTACAATATTGCGTTACTCCATAAAAAAGTAACTAATTACGTTACTTAGTTACTTTTTATGGAAAGTAATGCGTTACGTTACTTTTTAAATCTGGACAGGGCTTGCTTATTTGTTTTTAAAATAAAAAATCTATATTTTTGGCAAATATAAAAGCCTTTTCACACCAAAAGTGAAATGAATAAGCCTCAGGTTGAAGGAAAGTAAATTTCCGTCCGTACAGTAGAATGCAGAAGAAGACATTTCAACACACTTCAGCAATAAAAAAAGACACAAATGTTTGTCTAGAGCCATTTGTGCTTATTAGTACGGTTGAACTGGATCATCAAAGGTCAGAAGCAAAGACATTGGCTAATAGAACGGGATTAAATACATAAAGCATATTTGTTTAACATTTAATTATTGCAGGTTTGCGTCATATTCTGAGTTGCATTGTTTTTATTCATTTTGAGGAATACTGAATCTGTGTTTTGTTTTGTGTGTGAGTGAGATGAATTAATGCATATTCATATTTATTTTGAACTACAGTAACATCTTCTGATTTCTCTCAACATGGCGACACCAGAGCTGTCACTCAATACATTGAAAAAAAAAGTAACTTGCGTTACTTATTTGAAAAAGCAACTCAGATAGTCTCTTGTAAATTAAAAAGTAATGCGTTACTTTACTAGTTACTTGAAAAAAAGTAATCTGATTACGTAACGTGCGTTACTTGTAATATATTACCCCCAACACTGGTTGTAAGTAACTAAAAGCCAGTGGAGGATCAAAACACAAACCAAACGAAAACCATAATCCTGTTGATATTTCGCCTATGATACGTTACCCGAAGTCACCACTAGATGAAGCCAACATAAAAGAGATCCAGACGATTTCTGTCCGCAATGACACCCACCACGGGTAATTATCATTTACATAATTAGTATCTGAAAGGAGTGCTTTGCAATTGGAGAACATCAGCATATATAGCTACCCTCAATTTCGCTGCACTGAACTGACACTCAGAATAAAAGTGTAAAAGAAGTAACCCCATTTAAGGCACATTACACTAGGCTATGCACATGCCTAGAAACGTAAACAGCAAATTGCATTGTTTTATTCACACAGTATGCACACTTGGTGTTGTTTCTATTTAGTTTTTCAGAAGCATAAACACAAGCTATGCATAAAAATAGTTTCTTAAAATAATTTCACTAGCCATACCACTGTCTATGATTATCAAATGAATGTAATAAAGATGGACCTGCTCAACATGAGCTGAAATGTCTAAAATAATAACACAACAGGTCTGTATAACTGCCTGGTTTCCCTAAACTCTGGAATTTGAAAAAAGGCCATAATTCTGGGGGTGACACATTGTATTAGCTGCTCAGGCAGCGCACTGCACGAGTCATATTTCTCAGTTGAAAGTGACGTTACTGGTTTTGGCACAAGTTATCTATCTATCGTCAGAGTGGGAGTTACTTTCAACTAACTGTTGGGACGCAGCGCGGACTACACACACTAACAGAACAAACTCTCTTCATGAGTTTTGTGACATTGTGTGTGGACATATTCTGGTGAAGTCGGAGCAGACTATAGTGCCAGAACGGAAGAAAGACTGAAGGAAGTTTAACAAACGCCGAGGCGGTGAATCACATTTTCCATGAAGATGTACAATGAATAATCGACTTTCATAAAGCCGCTTTTTTGAGTTTTGCGTCGAAACAATCAAACGCGACGTCTTAAGACTTTTTTCGTTCTTTGGAATATTTAAGAACGCTTTACAGATAGCGATATTTTAATAGTCTAATCGATGGTCTACAGTTTTCATGTATATAGTTTCATGTATATACATTTGTAAACAAAACCGAGATAGTATATTTTCGCCATGTAGCTTTTTTCCCCCACGATTCTGAGATGGTTGTGTTGTGGGTTTGTGTCGTGGGAGGAATGTGAGTGGAAGTGTCGCTCATGGAGCTTCAGGTGGTGTGCGGAGTGCTCTACTGCTGCCTGCTGCCCATCTTTTTACTGGCAGGTAAGACCTCAACATGTAGGCCTATTCGAACCACCCTATACACAAAACAGACCAAAAAGTAGCATATTGTTTTACAGTCATTCTTGAGAAGTGGGACAAAACAGGGTGCACAATTGAAAAAATAAAACCTTGTACTCAGACAAATGAAACTACATTTATGTATCTTATATGTACTAAGCTACTGAGCTATGCTTTGATATAACCTCCCAACTTTTCTCTTTTTTAACAAAATGTGCTTTTTTTTTTTTTACCTTGAACTTGGTAATATCATTTCAACTTTTTCTTTATCAGCATTCAAGATGTTTTTAACATTTCAAAACACATTCTCGTGTTAGCAGACAGATTACACTTTCACATGTGACCAGCAGTTCCGCAACAAATATAAAATATCATAATGAAACATTATCAAAATATTCAACTGACGGAGGTGACACATCTGACGGAGGTGACGAAAACCTGAATTTGTAGTCATTTTAACTATCAAATACATTGAATCAGTCAATTGCTGTATTAAAACAAACACAACAAACAGTGAGTATGTTATTGTTTATAAAGCTTTTATTCAAGAGTCACATTGAAGTATTTTGATATATCATTGGGACACAAAATCTGGTGACATCTGACGGTGTTGACAAATGTGCCATTTCTTTCACAAAACCAATGGAAGTTCATGTAGTAGCCATTTTATTTGTTTCTGTTGATGCTAGATGCTAATGGAACCTGCTTCAGGAGAATACAATTATCTAAATATTTCAAATAATTTCCTCAGAAATTGGAAGATGGTGTTGACATATCATGGCTGTGACATTTATTGCATATGAATGATTGAACCCTTCTCTGTGGACACACTGTTTTAGACGTAGTGAGAGGACATTAAGACACACAGATTTGGTATAATAATGAGAAAATTAAATCGAAGGTGATAATTGTGTTAAATACATTCTATTATTAATCCCTCATGACATTTAAAATTGAAAATATTTTAATTTTTTAAAGCTAATAGCAGTTACCATTGCTGGACCTGTTTTGTCCCACGTCTCAAGAATGACTGTTTAAATTAAATCCCTAATAACATTTTCTTTTCCCGTTTTCACTTTTTTTTTTTTGTTACATTGCCTTAGCAATTTAGTAAAAGATGAAAAAGTAGAGATCTGTTTTAAAACTCTAATGCCAAGTTCTTCAAAAAGCGTTTTGATGCTTCTTTGTCCATGTTGGTTTCCTACATTTTAAAACTTGTATACCGTTTTATACAAACAACATGATTCACTGGCTCCAAAAATGTCACGTGGTATAACCATGAAACTTTTGAACCATTCCGTACACATTGAATACACTTATATATATAAAACATATTTTAAGTTAAAAAAAAATCAGTTTGGGGCTCATATGTGGTTATAAAAGCTGCACATATTTTATATCAGGTGAAACATATGATAGATAAATCTGCAGGTGTGTGTGTGTGTCATGTCAGCTACATATTTTACCATCCAATCACATTGATTGGATGGTAAAAACACACAATAGTTTCGCTCTTGCACATCAGCTTCATTGCTTGAATGTGTCCCGCTGTCACCTCATTCAGGTGTTTGTTTAGCACACACGCCCGAGCCGCTCGCTTCCTCTGGGCCTAAACTTATTTAAGAATGCATCATGCATTCTTGCTGCCTGGATTGCAACTCACATCTGTTTTCTTTCTCAGACCCGTTTTACTGTCTCCTCTCACAGTTATTTTTCCTGCATAATTTGCTTACATTCTAACAAGCACAAATACTTTCATGCTTGTCATGTTTAAGGCTCACCTCCCATGAAGAGTCAAATTATGGGCTTTTCACACTTGAAATTGTTAACCTAAGGTAATTGTTCTTACTGGGTTGCTAATTAATCCTGTAATTTCACACGGCACATGTGTAATCCCTGGGTTAACATTCTTATTTTCAGATTTACAATGCTAATAATATTATATGGAGAAGTCTGGCATGTAACCTGATTTACATTTTATGGTGGGGCCTATATACATTGACTGAATTAGCCCATATTAATCTCATATAGCATCTGAGTGGGGCTGTCTTGTACTTGACACTCCAGTAAATTATATATATGTGTGTGTGTGTGTGTGTATATATATATATATATATATATATATATATACGACACAACAT